AAATCGATCATCAACGTATCTGGAAAGTCAATGTTTGGTGCGGAATTGTTGATACGCATATCGTCGGACCATTTTTCTTTGAAGAAAATCTAAACCGTTTTCTGTATGTCGATTTACTCGAAAACGAACTCCCACGTTTACTTGAAGATATTCCACTTCAACTACGTCTAAATATGTGGTTTCAACAGGATGGATGTCCAGCCCACACGTCTGTCATTGCTCGTCAACAACTGAACCGCATATTTCGCGGCCAATGGATAGGTAAATATGGTCCACATAACTGGCCACCACGATCACCGGATCTTACAATTTTGGATTTTTATTTGTGGGGAAGAATAAAAGACCTCGTATACCGCGAACGACCTACGACTTCAGAAGACATGAAGAACAGAATTCGAGAAGCCATTCAGTCTCTAGATCCTGTCGAAATTCGTCGGGTGACGGATGATTTTCAACGAAGAATAACAGCCTGCATACATGCACGTGGAGGACACTTCGAAAATCTAGACTGAACACATGCGTACGAACAAAGGTGACGGCAAGGGGAACCACCTTAAAAAAGCACCCCGACGAGGTGTAAGTCCGACCTTGTGACCTCCACGTGGTACATCTTGGGTAACGCTGACACAGGCGGCATCGACTGTTCAAGATCTTGATAATTAGGAATCTTTAAAAATCGATGTACACGACTACAAATGAATCTAAAGATAGAATTCAAATTCACCAGCAGATGGATGCATCATAGCTATGTAAATACCTAGTATTGTTTGAACTATTTTTTGTACAAACACATCCATATCTTTTAGAAGGTTGGTACGGGTGCTCTAAAAGTAACTTGACCTCCACATGACCTCTAAGGGTAATTTTGACCTAGGCTTGATAACGTATTCGGACGTAAAATTTTCCGCTATTTTCATTTGTGATGTCATGAATAAGGGTTTACATTTGTAAAACGGTACTTTGACCTTGAGTTATGCCCAAGGTCGACCTCAAGGTCAAATTCAAGGTCACCATCAGATAGATCTCCCGAAATCCTGCAAATTTTGTCTGAACCATTTTTTTGTACAAACACATTCCTACCTTTTAAAAGGGTGGTACGGGTGCTCTGAGACACCCAGTATAACAACCTTTTTCTTTTTAAAATGGGAAAAATATGAGCCCTGGGGGGGGGGAAGACCCCAGCGTGTCGCCCCCCTCTCCCCGGAGAGAAGACATCCCAGGGGACAGATTTTGATCCGTCCGGGGCAGTGTGGGATTTGGCAGCCCTCCCCACTCCGACCGAGGTCTGAGAAGGGGCCCAACGATCGCCTAAAAATACCATTCGTAGCCTGTGAGGCATTTGCAGGGGGGAGCCGAGAACTAGACCAAAGATATTGCATCCGGTTTTCCCCTTGCCCATCGCTATCGGTATGTGGAGATCCTCCTTTCTCTATTGTTAATCAGCCGGCGCGACAGCACCGGGTGGGGCTTCCACGCCGGACACCGCTCGAAGGACTGCATGTTGCGCACAAAGTGAGTAGGGCGCAAGTTCCCCCGGCAGTATCTTAGTCTCTTAGATGCATCAGGCGGCAGCGTCCATTTCACCAAAGGTCGTACCTTCAGTGAGGTTACGAGTGAGGTGCCCGAGTCCGGCATTGTCGGGGTCGGCAGGAGAGACAACTTTCTCACTCGGTACCATCTCAGCCTCCTCCTTCCGCCCCATTATTCTGGAGCAGAAGGGGACTGCTCTCCAGTATTCCTCCCTCTCGATTATCTTAGTAACGACGATCGGGAGGGATAAGTCTAGACCTATAACGGTCTCGAGCTCGACGCGCTCCGCTCCCATGCGAACAGGCCACAAGGGTGTGGAGCGTGTCTCCATCCGCTGTACAATGGTGGCAACTATTGGTGCCTTCTTTTTTATCCGGTATGCCCCGAAGCCGTGCCCGGAAAATACTTGTATCAGATGTCAGTCCGCTCCGCATCCTGTTCAGCCATTTGGTCAGACAGGACTAGATGATCCCAATAATCATGCGGCTGTGGAAGCTCGGGGGAGTAGGAGTCTTTCCACTCACGCTCGGATAGTTCTCATCATGTCTACAGCCTGGGGGAGGAGCCCCTGCCTCTCCCTGATAGCCCAATATAACTCGGCGCGCTCTTTGGCGATCAGGTCCACAAGGGAAATACCGGCGATAACTATCTTGTCAGCTCTGGAAGTAATTGTCTCATGCTGGACAAATTTCCAGAGCCCATCCAAGATGAGCTCCAAATATTTCAACTTGAGATCCCCCTTTTTTTTTTTTTTTTTTTATAACGGAGGGGAAATGTCTGACGCATACCCCGGGCCTCGGGGGAGAGCCCGGGGTTATGTGGGGCTTGCACTCACTAAAACCCCTCCTGGTGTCCTTACCTGGCCTTGCATAAGGGACTCCCAGGAACGCGTGCAGCATACATCAGGCCAGTCGGCTTATTGCTGACTTCGATTCCCGCCCGGGGATTTTTATAGACGTCGAAATGACGACCCCGGGCAGTGCAGGGCACCGACTACCCTATGTTTGGGCGCTGGGGGGACACCACCCCCTGCGCCCGCCACCCCAATTGGTGTTGGGGGGCGGGAGTTGGGGATCACGGCCCCCGCCGCGATCCCCAGCCCCCCAAGGGGCGCCAATCAGAAGTTTGGCGCCCCTCATGCTTCAGCGCCGCGAGGGGAAGTCTCGCGGCGCATCCCCCGCGCGCGGCGGTGCAGGGATCCGGCCCGGACTTGAGACCCACCTCGAACTGACCCCATATCGATGTGGGACTGTGGCGGCGGCCGCGCACCGAAGGTCTTTCCATTATAAAAGAAGAGAGCCTCCGTTTTGCTCAGCGCCACTTCCAGACTCATCTCTCTTATCCTCCGCATCATTTCGGCCATCGCGATTTTTGCTCGTGTGGTAGCAACTTGCCCTATTTTCCCAGCTATAATTAAAATATTGTCCGCGTAGCAGACAAGGCTGTAGCCGACGGAAAGGACGATGATGACGATTACGTCATATGCGAGGTTCCACAACATCGGAACGAGGACCGATCCCTATGGAACACAGCATGTCAGAAATTGACTCACCAATCGGCCAAACCGATCTGTGTATTCCATGGTCTTGTACCAGAAATAGTCGCACAGCATCTCCCAGAGATACAGAAGAGAGAAGAGTTTTACATGGGAGTTTTACCTGCAAT